ACGGACGACATTTTGATAAGCAATACAATTGTAAAATAAACTATTTAGATCCCTCCCCCGCGCGTGCTCAGACGTCATATCGAGCTGCGCTTAATTAATTTAATTAAATAGTTATATCAAACCAGCTTCTGCCTAAAGTGTACAGTGAGGTTTAGGTTGATTATTGTCACCTGTGTAGTTGTGGACAGCTCTGTAAACACCATGAAAATGACTTAATCCTAAACCAAAGTGCGGCAAGTTGAACTTCAAGGATAATCAACAAACACAAGGAAACAAAAATTGAACGTTATGAATCATTCTTCTATTTTGTCACTCGCCGGGACATGGTTAATAAACAGTGTTGTGTACAATTGTGCCGAAAACTAGTGCTCGGGAGTGAAATAGGCAGTTGTAAACTGTGACGGACATTTTAACATTACTAATTACCCACATCACTTTGCAAAGCGGAGGAAGCTGTACTATATGGTTTAATATTTCGTCGCCCTGTTCAGATTTACAGTGGCGCAGACGCAACGGTACCGCTCACGAAGATTGTCTATGCAGTACGCGGCGAGTGCATACAGTTCGAGTCCTCCAGAATGCAGTTAACTTTTTGTTAAATTTTTTTAATTTTTTAAATTTTTTTTTTTTTGTTTTGTTTACAAAGAAAATCAATGTTTCAAATTGTTATAGTTTTCGTTCTTTAATATAAAATCAAATACACAGACGTTTCTTTTAATTGTTCGGTTTTAGTTCTTTTTTGTTATATTATGATTTAAATTTTATTATATCCTGTTAACGATATAAAAGATATATTTTACAATTATTACTATTATTATTTTTTGTGTGTTGTTGATTTTTCCTCTCTGTTTGGTTATTTAAAAAACAATAATATTATAGAAGTTCTTATAGAAAGGGAATAAGCTTAGTGTGTTTTGGAATTGTAGATAAAAAGTACTCTTTTCATTTTATTTTTATTTTTTATTGTTTTTCCTTTTTCGCATTAATTGATTGTTTATAATTAAAACAAAATGGCTTCTCCTAAAATATGTAGCGGTTGTAAATTAACTTTACCTGCGAAAGAGTTCATGGTCTGCAGTAAATGTAAATCCAAATATGATCTAATGTGCGCTAATCTTACACTGAAACGTTTTACCTCAATGGAATCGCGTCAGAAATCGTCTTGGAAGTGCCCTGAATGCTGCAGTTATATTCCGAAGTCGGCCACTACAAACACCACCTCACGGTCCCACTCTGAAGACATCGCAACTGATCACTTAAATATACCTTTACGCAATAAACCAATCAGAGATTTGGCGACATCACAGGAGGACTGTACATTTGTAAAGGAGGACAAACTTCGCGCAATAATCCAAGAAGAATTTTGCAGTGCACTTAAAAATAATATTAAAGACCTGATAAGAGCTGAATTAAAAATAACTAATGACAAAATAGATAGTTTCCAAGACGCAATCAATTTTATTAATGCACAGTACGAGGAAATGAAGAATAGTTTACAAGAAAAATCAACAATAATATCTGCACTTAAAACGGAGAATGAGAAATTGAAAAAGGATGTGAAGGAACTCGGCAACCGCCTTAACATAATGGAACTGCACTCGCGAGACAGCAATATCGAGATCAATGGCCTACCAGAAAATAGGTCAGAGAACTTGACAAATACACTAAACCAATTAGCAAAGATTGTGAATTACTCACTAGTCACCGAGGACATTCAACATGTTACTAGGGTGGCTAAACTGTCTCGGGAAAGCAATAGGCCTCGGGCAGTAATTGTCAAATTAAGGAGTCCCCGACAGCGCGATGCTTTCTTAACTGCTGTAATGAAATTCAATAAAGCCAACGTGGACAAAAAATTAGGAAGTCATCATCTAGGAATCGGCGGTACCCATTCCCCAGTCTTTGTTACTGAACATCTCACTCCTGAAAACAAATCCCTACACGCAGCGACAAGGAAAAAAGCTAAAGAATTGTGTTACAAATTTGTTTGGATAAGAAATGGACGCATCTATGTGCGTAAGGATGAAAATTGTCAAGCGCTTCAAATAAAAAGCACCGACACCCTTAGCCTCCTAAATTAAATCCTATCGATTGTTATGGCATTTCTGAAAATCAAGATGTTTGAAATATACTATCAGAACGTACAAGGCTTAAGGACTAAGACGAATGAATTATTAAAAAATGTTCACACAACTAATTACAATGTAATAGCACTTACCGAGACATGGTTGAATCAAAATATCAGTGATAAGGAACTCTTAGATGATAGATATGTGGTTTATCGAAGAGATAGAGTGTGTGGGGGCTCAGAAAAGCAGGATGGAGGAGGTGTGTTATTGGCGGTTACACGTGACATACCATCTACAAGAGTCGAAAGCTGGGAGGTCGATGTTGAAAACATTTGGATCGTACTACAAATTAACATAAACGGAAGACTTCACAAAATTGCAATTTGCGTTGTTTATTTGCCACCACCAGTAAAATATGATAAACTTACTAAGTTCTTGGAAAGTGTGGATTTAGTGATAAGTCACACAGATGAAGTTATAATACTCGGAGACTTTAATTTAAATTTCATAAACTGGAGCCCAGTTGACGGTTGCACTTACATGAAAGCATTGGAACATAATTCATCTCTCGGCCTTGCTCTTACAGACTTTCTAGCTGTCAATAACTTATATCAGCACAACTGTATTCCCAACACTGACAATAGATTTCTTGACCTTGTTTTAAGCAATAATCCAAAGGCATATGTATCCAAACCTCTAAAACCATTATCCAAGTGTTACCGATACCATCCCTGTCTCTTACTTAACATCCCCAATACCAATATTAAATTACTACGTGAAAAACCTCACGCGAAATATAACTATTACAAAGCCGATTATGGCTCCATCAACAGCGAATTAAAGGCAATAGACTGGAATGACAAGTTTTCCTGTTGCTCTAATGTAGATGACATGGTTACAGTTTTCTATAGTATACTCCAGACTTCTATCGATAAACACGTTCCTAAACAAAGTATTACTAAATCTAAATACCCCTCTTGGTTTAATATCCCCTTGATTAACTGTCTCCAAGAAAAAGAAAAACTACGCAAAAGATTCAAAAGGTTTAAAAATCCACGTGATGAATTTGAATACCATTTCCTCAGAAAACGTGCCCACAAACTATATGACGATTGTCATAAGTACTACATGCAAACGATAGAAAAAAACATCTCTTGTAACCCAAAGCTTCTATGGGGATATATTAAAAACAAACAAGGCAGGCGCTCCCATATGCCAGAGAAAATGTATAAAGACAATATTTCTGTGCAAAATGGCAAAGAAATCGTTAACCTATTTGCGACCCACTTTTCATCAGTATATTCTAGGAATTGTGACATATCTCATTATGAAAATAATATTCCT